AAGTGGATAAAGGTGTTGGTTAGATCCAGTGACAGGACCCAAAGTGTGAGAGTTCAATATCCGGTTAAGGCAGTGGAGAACTTTCAGAGGGAAATTAGCAGGAGATAACTGATAACTGACATCCATCAAACATGGCACATGGAACTAGAACAGTCTACCCCAGTGAGCGAAATAAAGAGTTCAGTTTGAAATTCCAACCACCTGAAGAAGGCCAGAGCGTACAACGGCTGAAACGTTGTGATAAATATGGTGACAAAGATGAGACAATAGTCCGAATAATGTAAATAATGTACATAATACCTCATCTCAGAAATATAGACAGACTCCAAAATTATTTTTATTTCATAGGTGACTTTTGCTGGATTTCACAATTAATTTCAATTATTCCCAATTTCATTTCTAAGTTATAGAAATTGTTATTGTACAAAAAAATTTGTTGCAAAAAAATCACATAAAATAATCACAGTAATAAAAACTTTGGAATCCAAAATTTCAATTTGGTCTGATATGTTGGGTTACAGCCTCTATTCAAATAAAGTTGAAAATGTCTGACACACTGACATTCACATTTATTTATATAGATAAATAAGTACATAAATTAATTTCTCAAACTAAAATAAATAATAATTACATTAGACAAATAAAAATTCATCAATAACAAAATTTACATTACTTTAAAAAAAAAAAATTATGATACAAACTGCTTAAAATACACTTTTCTCCCCATCCACTAAATATGACACATGTGAGTTTAAAGATTAGAACAATATGAACTTGGGCCAATTTAGCAACATAAACCAACCATACAGAGTGCGATGAGTAAATTGTCGTCATTTTATACTTTTATTTTGTACATGCACATTTTTGGGCACTGTCTGTAAGAAAAAGAGCACCATGGTGCATTTCATTCTGCTTGATATTTGTAAATGGCATTCTTTACTGATTGTAATATGCACTGAAGTTCGAATACAAACATTTCAGAGTGTTTTGGCGTCAATCTGAGTATAGTGGAGAGGATTTGGAAAGAGTTGGATGAGTCTAATGGTGATTATGAAGGTACAGCAGCTCCAAAAACTCACTGATCATTTTGATAAGAAAAGAATTCCCAAATTTGTTGGTGAGGCCTCAGACTCAACATCAAGTGCCTTGAGGAGGTAGTGCTACCCTGGGTCAAGTGGGTGGCAACGGGACTCTGCATCATGCCACACAAACAGGAGAACCCAGTCATGGCTGTCAGACAATTTCTGTAACCACATCCCCCTTTACATCACAGACTGCAACCCCCTTGATTATTATGGGTAGGGCACAGTTGAAGGAGACACAAACAAAACTCCTTGTAACACCAAAGATGAACTGAAGGCAAGGATTATGGCAGCATTCATCAACTTAAACAAGGAGACCATCCAGATAAGTTGCAGGAGATCCTGAAGTTGTCTGGAGGTCATGATTGAAGCCGATGGCAATTTTATTTAACAAATGTACTCTTTAATATTTCAAGATCTTTTGATGTAATTTTGGTAAAGATATCTGTTAAAATGAGATATTGGTGTTATTTTCATTTTTGTGTAATTTAGATGACAATTTATCCATTGCACCCAGAATTTTCAAAAACAAAAACAAAAAACAATCCCTAAATATAATAGATACAAAATGTCTTGTTTTTAACAAGACATGATATATGATATACGAGATTTTTTTAAAGTCTGTTGAAGAAAATTTTTATCAGTTTACTGTCTTTCAGGGGCATTATAGAGAAAGAGATGCACTCTGTTGAGAAAGGTGGCAAGTAAGTTGGTGAGAAAGACATGTGATATTAAGAACAATGGATATACCCATTTCTTGTTTATGATAAGTGGCACAATTACCTAATGGAAACTTAAATTGGTATATGAAATTATATTACAATTATATTACAAAGAATGAAATTTATCTTAAAAAAATTAAAAAATCCATTCTATCCATAAACAAAATTTGATTCAACAAATGTATGCAAGAGTTAATAATCTTAACTGCAAGTCAAACACATGACATCACATTAATGAGACTATCTTTTAACTCTTAATTAAATCATTGTGTATGCATGTGTGTGTATGTATATATATATATATATATATATCTCCTATTATAAGTGTTCTTGTCCCTCTTTTTGTTAGTTAACATGACTGTTACTTCCTGTCAATACCTCATAAATAATGGGCTATTCTGCATTTTGATCACATGGAAAGAGGGATAAAGACACTACTTGGTTTCAGCAAGAAAGTGAAAGAAAGGAGGGAAGACAGATATGGAGAGGGATAAAATCAGATTAAGCTGATAAGAAAAAATTCTACCCTTTGAACAATGGAAACCAAGTAAGACAATTGTCAAAAATCCAATTATAATAAATTAAATAAAATATTATCTACTGCATTATTTTAAAATTATTATTAAGATAATGTTCTAAGGATTTGGCTAGAAAGAAATAAGGGAAAATAAAAATTTTTAATGTCTCCTGCCAATACTTCATAAATAATTGTTTTGATCACGTGGAAAGAAGACACTTGATTTCAGTGAGAAAATGAGAAAGAAAAAAAAAAAAAACAAGATTGAAAAATGTCCAAAATCCTACTATAATTGTGCTTCTCCTGCCCTTTGTTAATTTGCTCGACTGTTACACCCTACCAATATCTCATAAATAATGGACAATTCCATTTTGATTATGTGGAAAGAGGAGAAAAGACACGACTTGATTTCAGTGAGAAAATGAATGAAAGGAAGGAAGATAGAAGTGTTTCAGTGAAATGAAAAAAGTTGTCAATTTCAAATCATTTTATTTCTAAAAATAATGACCAGCATTCCTATTTAGGATTGTTCTGGCAATATTTTGTGAAAGTTGTTAAGCTCAAATATTTAATGATCTGATAGGGAAATTTCTACAGATATTTCATTGTAGTGGAACTCACCATGAACTTATTCAATCAAGTTAAAAATTAAAATTCATCAGAAAATTTAAATAGGAAAACCGTGAAATTTTCACAGGTTATTCCAGTATTTTTTATTAATATAAATGTTATTTTTAGTGGGTCCACATTTTTGAGTTGCTATCTCTACTAAAGAAAAATTGTACCCCTGACAGGAATATAACCCCACAATTTTTCTTCAGTGTCATTTCTCATTTTAAGTCGGTTGTTATTAATTATATTTTTAAAAAAAATAAAAAAACAGGGTTAGCAAGTCAAACACGTGTACCCACTAAAAATAACATTTAAACTAATCAGAAATACTGTCGGATAAAAAATTATTTCAAATGTACACAGAGTCTGCCAAAAAATGTATCTACACTTCAGGAAAGGAAAAACTTGTATAGATATTGTAATACTAAATTTGTTCAGATATCAAAAGATTAATATAAATTACCTTTGGACTCTACAATCACAAGAGATGGTCAAAATGGTGGCCTTTCAGATATTTATTAGTACAGCGAACTACTGCTTGGGCAACATTGGCCAGTGTTTAGAGGGATTGCTGCACATGCATTTTCAATTTCTTGTCTAAGGGCCACCAATGTAGTCGATTTTCTGCAACACACAACATCCTTTAGGACTTGTTGATGTTACAGCCATGTGGGTAATGGCATCTGTCGAAAAAATATTGTGCTACCATAAACAGTGTTATTGCAATTTGATAAAACTAGTGTGTATACATTTTTTTTGTAGACTGTGTGTATATATATATTATAAAGAAACAATTGTATTAACAAAGAATTAAATAGCAATGTTAATGTAATTAAATATGAAATCACTGAGCTAACAACACTTAATGAGATATTAACTTACTATCAATTCCTTCAATAAGATCCTTATATTCGAGTTGTCAGATGGAAGACACATGCCAAATACTTTTGACAATATCAAATTGTCATCTTCAGGGCACAATTTTCTTATATATCGACAAATAAGACAAAATGTGTGTAGTCCGAAAGATGTTTTTTTAAATTATGCTATTTATTGACAGTTGAATATATGTCTTGCATCATATGATGTCACAAAATTAGGGTTCTTGTTCGAATCGATCAAGTGAGAATTTTGTTTGAATTTTGAAAACTTAGAAATTCATGAAAATTTTTTTGTCATATGTATTTAACCGATAAAGTGAAATGGACTTAGTATAATCCAATTAGTAGAGTAAAAATGAATTAGTGTCCTGAAGATGACAATTTGAAATTGACAAAAGTACTTGGCATGTGTCTTCCATCAAACAACAACTCTAATATAAGGATCTTATTATTCAAGGAATTGATAGTAAGTTAATGACTCATTAAGTCCTGTTAGCGAAGTGATTTTGCCATAAACTACATTAGCATTTGTTTACATTGGACCTGATGTATGGTATTTTGTGGTTACAGTGCCATCTCCCACAGCAATATATGAGGAAGACGGCATTGTCTCTTCACCGGCTGTATGCCATATTGGATTGTGCCACATTTGATATCTCTTGTTTGTATCATTTTTGGGGGAACTTTTTGCCCTTCATTATAGCTCCCAAACGTAAGGCAGACTTGTGGGTGCTTATGTAGATGAGTTCTGACCTACATTGGAAATCAGGTTATGTTGTGCTATAGAAACAGATCAACATAAGTTGAGGACCACCCACCGTGTGTGTGTGTGTGTGTGTATATATATATATATATATATATATATATATATATGCACAGAGAGAGAGAGAGAAAAAGCAGGTGTAAATAAAAAAAATATTTTTAAATTAAGTGTAGTATTTATATGAAATAAATAAAAAATTCCCATCTGCATATTATTAACAAGAACTTTCATGCTGTTAATTTTGCACTTTAGAATCTTCAGTATAACATTTTTTTTTTAAATTTAAAGAGAAGTTACCCATTTTTTTTTTATTAAATAGTATTCAGACAAGACCATATTCAATACTGTATTTCAAACTGAATGCCTAAAACACCAAAATTTTCTTAAATGTTAATTCAATAATAACAATAATTGAAAACTCACAAGACACACAGCTGGCTCAAGGGCTTCCAACAATTGGATAGAAAGATCTTTCTCTTGATTGTCAGGTTGATGTTGACGACGGAGCTGACAGGAAAAGGTGGCAAATTTAAATTCACATGTTAACTGACCCTTCATGCTGAACTCTTCACGACGAGTTATCTCCCTTGGTCCGTACCTAGAAAAGAAAAAAAAATATTGTGAATTCACAAACAAAAGAATGATAAAGACAGCAAATACAGAAAGTGGGAATTAATTTTGAAATTGCATTCTACCATAAACTTCCTCCCCAACAGCACTGCTGGTAAATAAGAAAAAAAAAAAAAAGAAGAAAATCTGTCTTATGAAAAACATTCTTGATGACAGAATTATACAATAAATATATATATATATATATAAAAAGAAAGAACAGTAAGATATAAAATCCGGTGTTCTTATAGATATTTTTATTTTACAAAATAGTGCTCAATATATATATATATATATATATATATATATATATATATATATATATATATATTAGTTCTCTTGAGAAAAGGGTAATTTTAAAAACAGTGGCTCATACCGCTATTAAGGCATGGCTCTTAAATTGAATTGAATTAAGATCTCCAGGCAACTGGCGCATTTCACATAGAAAATGTTAAAATTTTCCTTTATCTGCTGTGCGATGATAGCCTCGGGGTAGAATCTCTGATTGATGCCAAATTAGTCAGGTTTCAATCCCAACTTGAAGAAATCAGATGTCTAGCCACACTGAATATCTGTGATACAGCGAAACAGTCTGTCTGTGGATGACAATATATATATATATATAGATACAAAGGGCGATTATATCGGTCACATGATGGTTACTTAGTGACAAAAGTGGCCAGTCCATCAAGACACGCAAGTTGTTTGTTCGCATGGGCAAGACTAGCAGCTCCTAAGATGGTACTGTTTCCCTTTGGAAATATGTCTTCACCAGATATAGAAACTATCTCCAGCTTGTAATTGCAATGTAGGAAATATCTATAACCCACTCTTTTCTTTACATTATTTGGACTGTTATCTTCATCTTCTTGGGCATATTCATGTTTTGGCCATTGTACACTCCAGCCTTCTACAGGTGATTGGAATTTTGAACTGAACCCTTTACTCTGTCCACTGGGTTACACTGTGCTAGTTCCACATGCCATGCCTCTTCTGGATGTCTCAGTTATTTCCCTTCAACTCAACTCTGCAAGATTTTGGTTCACCACTGCTGTAGTCTGGTATTGAATTCATAATTCTTTGGGTCTTGTCACTGGATCTAACAAATATCTTTATTGACTGGGTGCTGTTTTCTTGTTTGATAAATATGTCCTTGCTAGTGGTATAGAAGATAAATCCAGCCCACTCATTTTTCTGTTGGGAATTATCACAAGTAAGACCCTCTGTCTCTTTGCCATTTTTGCTTTACTTGTTGTTGCATATATGTGTTATAGTTTCTCTGCATGGGACAAATGTAAATATCTCTATATAATTTTGAGTGGAAGCTATATTTATGGGTAAAAGTGCTTGATATCAGGGCTACAGTATGTGTAAATATAAAATATAAAAATGGAAACTGAGGTCGACACTTAGTTGTAAACCATCCAAATAATTATTAAAATTAAGTTGAATTGAGGTGTTTAGTCCCGTTTCTTTTTCAAGCGAAATTTTAGGAATAAGCTATCTCTCGGTTTACGTGCGTTACAAAATTCGTTATTGTGGGAGTGGCTAGACTATTTTTCTTGGTTAAGTGGTCAGAGAGTTAATTCTTATCAATAGATTCATCATCTTCTGAGAGGTTTTGCTAAGGTTGGGTAGGGTATCTATTTCAAGGCTAATGTTTGCGGTCACCGCTTAGTTGGTTCCCAGTGAGGATATTTTTTATGGCAGCCTACAAGTCGTTATGTGTCTGGAGAATTGTCTTTTATTATTGTCCATCTGATTATCTATTTATTTATTTGTTTATTCAAGTGGATGTTTTATATACAAATCGTATTGCACTGAATTTCAATTTGTTTTTTTTTGTTTTTTGACGGTTTTTCCTATTTAATGATTTGGCTAAGCTATTAAATAGGAAAAACCCTTTTTGTAGTCGTCAAAAAACAAAACAAATAATGAATTTTGTAATGGACCATGTAAACACACGTAAACCGAGAGATAGCTTATTCCTAAAATTTAAAGCGGAAGAAGAAACGGGACTAAACACCTCAATTCAACTTAATTTTAATAATTATTTGGATGGTTTTGGCTCTCGTTTTTTGAAACATGAGAACTCTTATGTAGCAAAGGAATCATATTTTAAACAAAAATATTATTATAATAAAAGCTCTACTTCTGTATGGAGCACTGTCTTCTTAAAAAATAAAACAAAAATACTAAAGGAACCCCCGGATTATGCACCCAACGTGTTCTTTTTTATTTTCGGCATACCTGTGCACTTTATATATATATATATATATATATATATATATATACACACACAGTAAATTTTTAACTGAGTATGCTGAATTAAGAAAATAAGCTGCAAGGACTGCAAATCTGTGAGTTACCTGCAAAATTTTGCCAAGATGTCATATTTGATTTGGTGATGCTGTCAAACAACTATAAAAAAGGGACACTTCTTTCTCTCTTTTCCTTCTTGCATACAGTAGATGTAACTCCAATGGGACCTTGTTCCCAGGCAAGAGGATATCTTTCCCCTTAGTGACTGAACTTTTTCACACACACACAATAGCATGTCATGTTGTCAATGTGGGCAATTACAAATAAAGAAGCATCTTCTAGTTTGAAGATCGATGCAAACTTAACAACCTTGAAATCTTATCACAACAGGTAAGGCTATGTGTGCAATACTGTACGGGTGAAGTATAGTGACTCGATAAGAAGACCCACACTTCTTAACTTTGATGTCTTCTTTCTTTTGCATGCATTCGTGTTTATTTTCTCTTGTTACTCAGTTATATAAAACCAAAAACATAAAATATTGCAGAGTTTAAATTTATTCCATTTCCTTTCTTCATTGCTGAAAATCATGACCTGTCATTTACATCTGTAAATTTTGGTGGCCATGCCTTTTAGTCAAAGTAAGAGCAGAGGTGCATCAAATGAAAACTGAAATTCACAAGAGATCTTAACTGCATAATTAAATTTCATAGTCATTCCCATAATGATTTTAATTATCCATTAAAAAATACAAAAAAAATATCCACTTCTGGCATCATAAGGAGAGGTCTTAATCATAGCCATGGGGTAACTCCACTTTCCGCAGTAAAAGGATTTACTTGAATCTCTTACTGTTTAGTAATGTAATTTTGGTTGGTTCGTTGATTTTGTTTTGTGGCATATCAACTTATATGGGTTATTTAATGCTGAAATCTAAATATTTTGTATGTAATTTTATGCTTTCAACTACAGATATTTTGTACATAATTTCAAGGTGTAATTATGTTTTTTTATATATACTTTGTAGATCATAAAATTGTTGGTAATTCAACTATAAAAATGTATCTAATATTTTTTTTGGTGTTTCATTGATTGTCATTTTACTTTAAAAATTTATTGTTGCTTTTTTTTTATTATAAAAATGTACTGTTTATTTTTCTTTAGTAGTTGGGGGGCACTATTTACCCATAGCTGAGACCCTAACAAGTGCTACTACCATAGGTCAGGATGAACCTGGGAACAAAACCAATTAAGAGGTGGTCGCATGCTCCTCAAAACCTCCAATATCTTGATCAGAGGTCTTGCTGCTGGATGTAGTTTATCATCATACCCAGGAAGAATGTCATTTTGGTGGTATGAGGATTGGCATCATTATGTAAAGAAACAACACCCTTTCTATTCACCAATAGGCGATGTTTGCTTTGATTTTTAAATGGAATATTTCAAACTAGTCAACATATCCAGCAGTTTGCTCAGTTACTTTGAAAGTGCCAATGATGTATAAAACTGAAACTTTCTACTAGAACCTTGTAGAGATGATAGCCCAGATTTAATTGATTTTCTGATTCTGATCAATATCCACCCATTGTGAAGAGCATCTTAAAATTATTATACAATATAATACAATATTTTTTTTAATCTGACATATTTTTATTACTTTAAATGTTATTTTTAGTGAATACCTGACACATTTTCTTTAATAAATTTTTCTTGAGTACCCAGGATGGTAGATAAAATACTGTTTAAAATAAACTGCGCAAATATGGGTATTGACTAAAAATAACAAGTAATAAAAATGTTGGATTAAAAAACAAAATCCATTAATTCTTTAGAAATATACATTTAATTATAACTATTTACATCTAGGTACTGACCAGGTGCAATGTTGCTTAACTTCAGTGATAAGATGAGAATCGATGCTTCAACATCATATTGCCATTATATGATCTAGCAATTAAAGCACTTTCTATACATTTTTGTCTAAGTCAATTGCTTTCTCTTTTAATTAAAAGGTAGTATTTTTGAAGTTTTCCACTTTGTCATATATGTTCCTAAATTTGCTCTTGATATATAAATTTTTATATATCAATAACAATTTTAGGAAAATCTATGACAAAGTGGAAAATTTTGATTTAAAAAATGCTACTTTAATTAAAAGAGAAAGTAATTTACTGAGACAAAAATGTATAGAAAATGCTTTGTTACATCATCCATAGTAAATTTAAATTCAGATTCTTACATTTTACCTTTCTTGTCAGAGATTGTGATTGATAATGTAGGATATTTAATAACAAAATTGGTAAGAACATAAACAAAAAGAAACTAAATAAAAACGGCTCGAGTATAAACACAAAACACATATTTAGAAAAGAAAAAAAGAATTTAAAAAATTAAACTTAAAATTTCCTCTCCTTCATGTGCAATCACATCAACTTTAGTCCGATGAAGACCAAAAAGACAAAACGCATCACCTGAAAAACATTTCTCCACTTTGTCAGACACTTTCTAAACAATATATAATCTCACTCATTAGTTTTTCATTCTGATCTCTTCTTAAAGCCACAGCATGACGTCTGATAGTAAATCTTTATTAGTTAATAGAAGTTGGCATTATTTCTAATAGAAAAAACTATAGTTATATAATGCAGATACTTACACTGCACATATCACTTTGGTTTTGTTGAGTTCAATATAGGCTGAACCTTTAGCCTGGCTGATCACACCAGCTCGTAGAACTAAAAAGAGAAAAAAATATTAACATTCAGATTGTAAATAAGTACTAAAGTTAGAAGAAAAATAAAATAAGGCAATTAAGAGTTGAGAGGAATGAAGGTTTGGCAAATTAGACACTCACAGAACACATTGAGGGCAAGAGAAATTGAGAAAAGCAATGGGTAACCTACTTAACAAGTTTGAGAAAGTGGATGGAAGAATGTGTACCCCAGAGACAAAGAAATACCAGATGCTCTTGCCTTTCCTTCCAAGGGAAAGAAACAATGCAGTTATTAACAAGAAGAGTTGAAATTAATGCGTGCAACATTTCACAGCTCCAGCATCATTCGTTCATAATCAGACTATGAGCTTTTCTGCCCACTTTAATAGAGTAGAGGAGGTTCATAAACCATTTTGCTTACTTTTTAAATTGTTAAATCTAAGCTTATTGAAAGGGACGGAAAATACAAGTGTTCTTCCAGCTACATGATGAAATAGAACAAAAATCTTTTGTGCCAACACAATAAATATTAAAAAAATTGACCAATCTAATGGTAATAGTAATATTAGCCATTTCTTTACAAGGAAACATTTGTGTAGAGTAATTGGCCATAGCTAAATGTAATTGGCAAAAATACACAAACAGAATTGACAAAGTTCCCAATAGATAATAGCAGAAGAAAGAGAAGAACAAGGGAAAACTAATACTAAGCAAACAATGTATAGCGATTGACTAGCCGCTATAGTAGACAGGTATACTCAGATACAAGCAGCCAGCCACTAATATATATATATATATACATATATATATATATATATAAGCAAATATATGGATATAGATCCGACAGTATGAAGAAAAATATATGGAAAAAACAAACAAAAATCCTTATATGCAATTATGTTGTTTTAATGTTAATATAATGTCAATGTCGGACATTTCAGTCTAATAAACCATCTTCAGGACATATTCATAAAATATAATTAACATTATCAATTCAACATGACAAAGACGATGGACATAAGAACAAGACTTATCCAAACAGATAACTGAAAGTTTTATAAGATCAGCGTTCCTTTTAAATATATATATATATATATATATATATATATATATATATATATATATATAAAATGGACAAAGTCCGGCAATTATTTTAAGACATTTTTATGTTTATACATTCTTTTTTTTTATAGATTCAAATATCAGGTCATCCCATAAGTTCTGTCTGAATCTTAAATAAAGAAAACAAGTGACCAAATGTTACATTTAATTACAGATTCAATCAACAATGTATTTTCCGATTATCTATGACTTCCTTCCATCTTACTAACATTGTTTACTAATTCCATTACTGTAAAATTCTTTTGGCTTCGATTCAAAGAACTCACAAATGTCAGTTTTAACCTCTTTCTGTTACAAAAGTAGTTTCTTCCAAATGATTCTGTAAGCTACGAAACAAATGGTAGTCTGAAGGAGCAAGATCGGGAGAATAAGGTGGATGAGGAATTTTTTCCCAACTAAGTTCTTCGATCTTTTGTGACGTGATTCTTTCTGTGTGGGGTCGCGCATTGTCCTGATGAAACATCACCTCTTTTCGATTCACTAGAGCAGGTCTTTTTTTCCTCAAAGCTTGGTTCAAACGCTCTAATTGCTGACAGTATATTTCAACATTAATTGTTGCATTAGGAGGTAAGAATTCAAAGTGGATTATTCCTTGGCAATCCCACTAGATTGAAAAAACCTTTTGCCCATGAAGTTCCCTTCTCGGCTGTGGCTGGGGTCCTTCCCCTTTACCAAGCCACTATCTACGGTGCTTAACATTTTGATAAAAGGTCCATTTTTCATCGCCAGTCACAAGTCTATACAAAAAAGGTGAAACAAGTTGGCGAGAATGGAGAAAAGAGCAGATGTCAACTCAGGATTTGAGGTTGTTTTAAGACAATTCATGAGGCACCCATTTTCCAAGTTTAGGAATGCTTCCAAGTTGTTGAAGTTGACGAACAGTTGTATGGTTTGAACTGAGAACCTCTGCCAATTCCTCAACTGATAAAGCAGGATTTTCTTCAAGGGCTGCTTCAAGAAGCTTTTCATCAAACTCAACTGAACGTCTGGTTTGATCTTCATCTTCAAGGGTGAAATCTCCACCTCTGAATTTTGCAAACCATCTTCTGCAAGTTCTTTCATTCACATATTCCTCTCCATAACCTGAGTGAATGTTTCTAGCCGCTTCGGCTGCTGAGTTTCCTTTCTTGAGCTCATAAAGCATTATGTGCCTCAAATGATTCTTGGGTACTTCCATGTTAGCAGGGTTTTAATCAAACAAAATTTAATTTTATTGTTCTCTGAAATAAAAATTTGATCAGTTTAAATGCATCTAAACATAAAAATAATGTTCAGCTCCATTAGACATTATAAAATACTCTTTAAATCTCGTTCATTTAAAAAAAAAAAGGTAAAATTCGGACAGAACTTATGGGATGACCTGATATTTAAGTAAATGCTCTGTTCATAATAAACAGTATTATTATATACGTATATATATATATATATATATATATATATATATATATATATATATATATATATATATATATATATATATATATATATATATATAAAGACTAGACATCTCCTTTTGTGTATGTGCTTTTCATAGATTTATGATAAGCTTTATGGATTTGCAAGGAGTAAGCTGTGCTGAAATAAATATACAATCACTAAATCCCAGTGTGATGAATATATCTCTTAGTAATAATGTAAAAATAATTCAGCAATGTTATGTTAATTATGGTAACTGGATTTTTGACAATTGCCTTACTCAGTTTCTATTGTTCAATGCTGTGTCTGAGAAATGTCACTTTTATTGCAGCCACCATTGATTCTCGGCCTTTTGGCTTGAATCAAAAGGGTAGTATCTACCCTCAGGTGAATAGAGTTCATTTTATCTCTCAATTGTGTCTCTTCTTTTGGAGAGAGCACAACTCAGTTGTGTCTCTGCCTTTGGACAGAGCGTAACTGAAAATATTGAGAAGTGCCCAATTTTGGGAAACAGAAGGAGGAATCATTACTAATAACAATAACAGCGCAACCAAGTGTTACAGGGGCTGTGCTATTTTTGCACCTATCCTGAACTCCCCACATTAAACTGTCCTTGTGACACATCCTGCCAGCCTTGGGCAGCAAGAAAATACTCAGCCTTTTGCTTAAATCAATGTGCAATATTTGTTCTCATCTGACTCTCTCTCTCTCTACTTCTATCTTTTCTTATCTTCTTTATTTCATTTTCTCACTGAAACCAAGTAGTGTCTTTTCCATTCTTTCCATGCAATCAAAACTGAATAGTCCATTATTTATGAGGTATTGGCAGGGCATAACCATTGCAGGAACTAACGAAGGAAGGGACAAGCATAATTATAATAGGATATTTGTTTTAATTAGTTTAAATTAAAAATATGTATAGGAAATAAAGTGGAAAGAATTCTGAGATTAAAATAAAACATCTTTTAGTGAATGCCTCACATACGAAAATCATATTTTGTCTGTATTTTTAGAAATTAAATATGCCTGTATTAAAAGCATTTAATCTTTGCACCAAAATAGCAAACTTTTATTGGATTGTGTAATTTCTTTTATGTTAATCAAAAATTAAGCAGAATTTGTCAAGCAAATTTAACAAAACTTGTTTCAGTGAATATTTTATGCTTAAATATGCCTCTACCATTCATTCAGGCTTAGAATATTGTTACCACATAAGGTCTGGTGATCCTGCTTAGAAATCCTTGATAAAATTCCAAGAAAAATCAGCAATATTATTAGTTCTGACCTGGTGTCGTGGCTTCAGTCAATTTCCCACTACCATAAAATTGCTTCCCTCTGCCTTTCTTATAAATACTTTCATGGTAATTGTTCAGATGACCTTTTCACTATGGTACCTAGACTTTATGAATTTAAGTGCAGTACTAGACTGGCAATGAGGTTTCTTGCACTTCTTGCTTGTGGAACTTTCTACTGACTTCTTGTTTTTTCTGCAGCCAACTTTAATCTTCAAAAAGTTACCTTCCTGACATATTAACCATGGGGAGATTCAAATCAGGTTGTATAGACGGTAAACAAATGTTTTAACCACACAGCCACAAATTTCTATATAAGTTTAGTTATACATAAGCACAATTCCCAATTTTCAAAAAATTTAGCTGACCTGCTGTCACAGATTCAAACACTTTCACATCACTGTAAACTTGCTTCCCTGTACCTTTTTAACTTACTTTCATGGCAATTGTTCAGATGAGTGCTTTGCTATGGTACCTAAACTGAATTTAAGTACAGTACTAGATTAGTAACAAAGTCCCATCTGTTTACAGTTGAATTGTCTAGATATAACTAAGTTCTATGCTAACAGTTTCTTTTCTCACCTGTGGATCTCTCTTCTGGCTTCTTGCATTCCAGACAACTTTGATCTTCAAAAATTTAAATGCAATGTCAATTGTTATCTACTATATTCCTGATTACTCTTATATTGTTCTTGCTCTTCAACAATGTTTCTATTTTCTAATTCTCTCATACCTAGTAACCCCTTGTGTCTTAGTGGCTTTACTGCCTTGCTTAGGGTGAATTCAATTAAAAAATAAAATAAAATAAAATAAAAGTATAATAATTTTTGTATAAGATTATAAAAAGAAATTCTTTAGGAAAAACTATTCGGTTAAAACAAAAGTATATATTGTTTTTCAAGTGAATTTGAAACACAATATTTAGATATTCTTTCATAGATTTATTTAACGATCTGTGTGCCATTTTGTTCCACTTCTTTTTGCCATCTTTGAGGCAGTTCCATGCTTTCATCCTCTGAGAACTTGGCATCTTTCTGGGTAATGAATTGGTCTGAGGTTTTTACAGGCTTTTGAAGAATTGAAAATTTTTTCATTGTGAATTTTCTAAGGATCAAAATAAGCATTAATCTGAAGGTCAGGTGAGTATAGCAGCTGCAGTAGGACATCCCAGGCAAGCTGTACCATTTTCTGCTGGCTCTGTAAAGAGACATGTTGTCTGGCTTTGTCCTGATTGTACCATATTTTCTTGTGTAATATGACCATGTTTCTGAAGCTAGAAACAGGGAATAAATTACATTTCTTTTTTTAAATGATTTCACTTCAAGATAAAAAGATGAACAGGATTCAAGAAGATATAAGATGGCAATTGACAGTGCATTTAAATTTTTAAAGATTGCAGTTTTCAGGAGCAAGTAAATGAAAAGGAGTTCTACAGACAGGAAGTGTGAGAAAAAAATCTGCAGTAGAAATGATGGTTACAGTTAACTATTTCAACTGTAAAAGGGTGGGACCTAGATGCCAATCTAGTAGCATGCTTAAATTCATATAGTCAGGGCACCAAGGAGAAAGCTCATCAGAGCAGTTGCCATGAAAATATTTGTATGAGAAAGTGACTGAAGTCAAGATGCCAAGTCAGGATTGATTAATTAATAAATCATACTTTTCTTTTTGATATGATTTTATTGTATTCTATATATTAATAAACTATGAAGAAATAATGCCTTTCATTAAGAATCAGGAGAGAAAACATAAAAGAACAAAAAAATCTAAATATAAACAAAGTTTATCTTTTCAGCAAAACTGTTCTAATTTTAAACATTACGATGATACCCAAAGAACAAATATGGCCGACATATCAAATACCTTCTGTAAACAATTGTTATCAGCATCTGTTTATTTTATGTTTTATTATCTATTGTGCTACTGAATGTATTTGCAATCTTGCTGTTTCAAATAAGAGTTTTCTTAAGCGGTGTAAGAATTTCTGAAAATGTTTACTTGTATATAATATAACCCCCCTCCCCTTTTGCCTTTAATTTTCTTCAATATTTCTCTTATTATGCACATTTGATAAATGACATCCTACTGACTGGTCAATTCAGGAGACTATTCATCAATTAGTCCTGGGCATGATAATATACTACATCTGATGGCAAGGCTTCTGATAAGGACATTGCTGCTGTGACTAGGTTCACACTGACTCAAGGGGGTAGCACCTGTTAGGGTCTCAGCTAGGGACAAATAACGAAAACCCAACTAAAATCAAAACACTATAAACCTTCTATGAAAATGTGACCAACAATAGATATTTATAGCAAAATGACCAACAATACATTTTTAAAGCAAAGTGACCAACAATGCATTTTATCTGTAGTTGAAGGCATGCAATTGAATTCAAAATATATTTAATTGTAGCCACAAAATTGTGTTCCAAATATTTAGACTTTGGAATTAAATAGCCCATAGAGGTGTTGATATGCCACTAGACAAAATCAAACAACCAACAAGAAAGAACTCTTTCGGGACATTAATTAATATAATATCCTACAATTTCTTAAATCAAACCATATTCCAAAATATTAACTTCAACAAAACACATGTCACCACCACTAGTAATTATCTTTACACAAACATATATATGCACAAAAGCAGAGTATCATTTACCATGTATTCAATTGTGAGAGCAGAATGACACATCATTTTTATTAATTCAAAGCTCCCTAGGAAATTAAATTTCAGTATTAAATGACCCATAGGGAGTCGATATGCCGTTAGACAAAACAAAACAAATGAGAACAGTACTTGTCTGAATTCAACACCTGATTTGGGGGAAAGAGCTCGTATTACATATTACCCTTCTTATCTCACCAGACACACAGCATTTCCTAAAGTGGATAACGAGGACTCATTTCATTTTACCCCAGGACATTTTTTGCTCCACATTGTTACATGCATTCAATTTTTCATCACCTATGATTGTTATTTTAAAAAAAAAAATGTGTTGTTTTTGTCGAGTTTGAGCAGAGAATTGCAGATGGAGACACCCAAATGTCAACTACTGTCAAATTCCATAGAAGGTAAGTGGAGTATCTCTGAAACCCTCATGGTGGGTGAGCTGGATTATTTTTAATCAGCATTTTGATTTGGTATGTCGTAAATGACTGCAGGCTTGCCAGAACATTCTCAGTCTTACAAATCAAAATTTCTACTTTTGAATATAGCGAACCACTTACAATTCTCTGTTATGGTACCATCTTCATAAATATCACAGATGTTTTTTTGCTCTTTGTTTTCATTCCTTTCTAAGAATAAAGAAGAATCAAATGACAAAAATGCATTACATTTTCCTCCATTTTTGCTTTTAACCTGTTAGCATTCAATATGCTCGTACTCATCCCAGAAAATATCAGTCTCAATGTTCACCCACCACATGTAGCCTGTCATAATTTATAATATCATTGCAAATAACACAAGGTGTCATGCAAACAGTGAGACTTTGACCATATGATATTCCTACCATCTCTATATTGTTCGATAAGCAAAGAAAATACAAGTTTTGTGAACATTTTGTTATACTGTGGTCGAGGCAACTACACTGAAGGAGACGGTGTGAGGTTTTATCTCTGAAGTGTTTCCTGTTTTATGACCAGCAATAAAGTCTGGGAGATATGGTGAAAAATGCTACAAACTTTTGACCCAACCCGAATATATTACCTATCACAATTTTTAGAAGAAAATGTTTTATCTAATGTGAGAGATTAGAAAAAAAAATATGATAAAAATGGTAAAAAAATTGATAGTAGTCATATTTACATGTGGGTCGCATCTGGTCATGTGATCTTCCATCCCATCTTTCTTGGTTTTCATCCAGCTTGAAAAAAAAAAAAAAAAAGAATTGTATCATCATCATCATCTGGAACACTATTATGCATCAATCTCATATTCATTACATTCTAGAGACACCTTGGGTCTTTAAAATAAATTTCTTTGTTAAAAACTAAAATTGGGAAATGTCTACATGGAAAAAATTATTTATCTATTTGTCTAAAATCCAATTATAAATGTGCTTATCTCTCCCTTTGTTAATTTGCTCGACTATTACACCTTTGCCAATATCTTATAAATAATGGACTATTGCATTTTGATGGTGTGAAAAGAAAGGAAAAGACACTACTTGGTTTCAGTGAAAAAATAAATGAATGAAAGAAAGAAGATAGAAGTGTTTTAGTGAAATGGAAAAAATTGTCACTTTCAAATCTTTTCATTTGTACCCACTTCTTAAAATAACAACCAGTATTCTTATTTATAATTGTTATTGCAATATTTTGTTAAAGTTTTTAAGCTCAAATATTTAACAATGTGATAGAAGAATTGCTATGGATATTTTATTGTTGTAGAACTTATTTAATCATTAATTTAAGAATTAAGATTCATCAAAATAATAAAATCGGAAAACCATGAAATTTTCACAGGTTAAAACTAGTGAAATTATAAAAGTGTATAAAACAGAAGTAAATTGGAAAAAAATCCATGAAAAGTTATTTTGCATCCATTCTTAATCCATTCTCTTGTTTATTTGATCTGACAGCAAGTCATCAATTCTGTTCCTAAAGAATTTCTCAATTAGAGAACTAATAATTCATTGAAAATTGTTTCAATGTGATCCTGACCAAAGCAGTTTACATGCTTAAAAAAAAAAAAAAAAATGCTAATTTGTAGAAGGGGAAATTGAATGAATAGTAATAAAACTCAAGCTTCATGTTTCAACATCATTTTTGTATGACAAGACTAGAGTAAGCACATCATCACACAACAAAACAACACACTTCCCCACCCCTCACATATCCAGAGGCTTGTTAAGTCACTTTGAAAGCACTTGTGATGTATGAAATCAAATGCTACCATAACCTTCCTGAGATGATAAAACAAACATTGATGAGCCATTTAATAAATTCTTACTGAAAGGGAAGATGAAAATAGTGTTACATAATGCAAAGGCTGGGCTGGGATAGTCAACGATTAGTCAGAATGCCTTGTGGGTGTGGTGGTATTCTGACAGTAATGGATTACCTTTGTCTAAGTTTTGGATATAAGTCCAAAATGGTCTAAAGTCAACAGAGAGCCGCAGGAATTTTGAAGTGCTGATACGCTTCCCATGTAGCAGAAAAACACAATTTACACAGAGTTAAAGCCAAATTTATACAATTATCAGAAAACATGTATTGCTAACTACACACCAATTTTCATCTAGCTGCACTCTACTCAAAATTTTTTTTAAAGCAAACACAAATATACCAGAGTGTTGGCCATTATCAACACATCCCTCACTTGCCACAGATGTCTACAACTACGTCTGTGCATTTCCCTTATATAAGCTATAAGCTGGAGAGGGCAGAGAGAGAGAGTAGAGATACACCCACGCTAACCATAGAGGCTACCTGGAGCACAGCTGACTGCCTGTCTAACCATTAGTTTATGAAAACGATATCCTGTGAACACAGAAAGAGAATGGATTCCACTATCAACATGACAAGCCCAAACCATTAGCCAACAAGCAGTCAGCTGGATGTGCATACTCCTTTTTTATGCTCTCATTTCACACCACATATGCCATACATTTGAACGCTACACTAAATGATTTACCAGAGACATATCTTGTAAATGAAAATAAATCTTAGTTCATTTTTCCAAACCAGTGTTTAATTTGTTTCTTTACATCAACCAATTTCCACCCTGGATCACCCACACCAAGTTTCAGGAGACAGGCTGAGACCTCATGCGGAGGGATGCTAAGCCAATAATCGGCATGTGTTCCCTTGAAGTTCTTCCTCACATTGCCTCCTAGAATCCAAAGCTTTCTAAGACATTATATAACACAATTACCAACTGTTAATAAAAGGTATTAATTCTTTAGTGAGTACTTTTTAAAACAAAGTTAACTTTGATAATTAAAATGCTTTACTCATTAATGTATTAACCTATTAAAGACCACCATAAAACCCAGTATTAGTTATAAAATTTAAAATAAAAATCCAGGTAAAACTTGGATCTTTGTGCCTGCAAAAAATAAATGCAGTGTCAAAAAGATGGTTTTTCTCTTGACACCACTATCATTTTAACTACCTCCACTCCTTAGCAATGTTTACCATTTTTAAAAGCGATGATTCGAATTGTATTAAAACAAACATATGAAAATGAATTTACACATTTTCTTTGTGCTTGAAAATTTACAAGAATAAAAAACACAATTTATTTATGAGATTGTTTATTGGAATGATTGGCAAAGTATTGGCTAATTGTTAATAGATTCAGACTTTATAAAATGGTAAATAATAAGGATTTCCTTATAGTTGGTTCACATATTTTAATGATTGTTTATAAATTTATGTTTATAAATTTATGAATAAAAAATGATAAATATTGCATTGCCTTACTGTTAAAACACATGTAATTTTCACACCTGTGTAATTTATGCATGTGATTTTCAAGATAAAAGTTGTTAAAAAACGCTTCTACTCATGTAAAATTCGCACCCAAAATTTTTTAGGATTGCTGATATGGCCAAGGGGAAGACATTTTCAATTTAGTTTTATTTAGTATAATTTCACTTACTTACGTTTAAATCTTATTAAATTTTCATTAGATAAAAACACTTTCTGTTTAACAGGTAAGTATCACATTAAAAGATATTAAATTATGTGATCCAGATTGTGCTCACATGTAGAAATCAGGATCATGATTGTCAATATTGTAAAATGTAAATGTTTAAATTTGCATCCTTTTCCTTAATATTGTAAACAATTTTGCTGATCTCACAACAAAAAAAAACAGACAAGACTAAAAGCATACAGTCAAGATTATCCATATTATTACGTATGTCAATGAGGCTACATTGCGATAGATAGAAACTGCAAGCAATGTAAAATATAGACTGGATCGTGATTACCAGCATGAGACTTCAAAAAGTAGTTGACCATTTACTGGTTTTAGTAAATTTATACAGAAAAAAAGTAAGCATTATACTGTCCAGCATAAATAAAAATTAACTTCATTATATTTAAGGCCTTATTTTTTCTGTATAAACTTATTCTGACATTAAATGGGTGAACTTCTGGTATGAATGTTTACGTTTTGTATGTCTTTTCAATTAAAAAAAAAAAAAAAAAACCCTAGAAACGATCTGCTTATGTAATTTACACATCCACAAAAGTTTATTTTTAGTATTGCAAAAAAAATATGCATAAATTACATGAGTTTTTACAGTAGTTTTGATTGTATTAGTTTTTAAAATGTTGTAAATCTAAAATTATTCTTGTAAATAAACAATGTAAAAAATAAATAGTGTTTAGTATTTAAGTATCTTTGTTGTAATTTCTCAAGACCAAAAAATTGTATAAATTCACTCTCATCATCTTTTGGCTTTATTACAATTCTAATCATCGTTTTTTTTTTTTTAAAACAATGAATATTGCCGAAGAGTGGAGATTTAAAATAAAAGCGGTGTCAAGAGGAAAAAAATACTTGAAGGTCCAAGTTTGCCAAATCCGGTATTAATTATAGGTTTCTGGTGATGGTAGGTTATAGGTATCGCCTTGGTTAAAATACATTACTATAATCTCAGAAAGTGTAGAATAAATATGTATTCTATTAAGTAAATCTGTTTGTGAACTGAACATTCATCTTTCTATTAAATTTACACATTTTGTCACAATCCTTTGAACTGGAAATTTTGCTGAACAATTAAAATAGAAGAAATATCTAAAACTTACACATTAACACTCAGGAATATATTTTTTTTAAATCAATTTACCCCAAACAGGGCAATAATGCCACTAAGACGCAAAGGAGTACAGGGAGTTAAAGAAAATGAGAAAAATTTAGAAGGAACCAGAAATCCAATACTAAACAGGAAAGAATAGATAAATCTCATCTCCTGTTGAAAAAATATAATAAAGAGTGCATAGAAAAACCTTTATAAATGTAACAGCTTTGACTACTAATTTAACTTTTACACAATGTCTACACAACCAATAAAAAACAAATTAAGATAAAATCTAAAAACCAAAACAACCTTCCATTATTCAACTTCACAAATTTTTGATGATGCTAAATAAAAAGTGAAACGTAAAATTTATAAAGCTTTTCCTACTTGTTCCCTATTTAATTATTCTGTCAACATCTTCCAGCTAGGAGTTGAATAGCAGGGTAGACTGGCTCTATAGCCTTGGGTGGTAGCCAGTTGAGGGAAATGACAATTCTAAATTCAAAACTTTGGAAAATGCAATGGGGAACCAGTCATCTATACTTCCAAAGTAGTCATAGATATTCAGAGATAAAAAAAGAATTAGCAACATGATTGGTGCTGATCTGGCATCTCGGCTTCAGTTACTTTCCCACTGGTGTAATGTAGCTTCACTGTACCCCTTTCCTATAAATATTTTCATAATTGTTCTGTCGAGCTTTCTTCTTTGGTATCTTGACTTTACAAATGTAAGTGCAGTACTAGACTGGCAGTAATGTCTCATCATTTTACAGTTGCAATGGCTAGAAATAACTGTAAGTTTAATGCTAACATTGCACTTCTCACTTGTGGAACTCTCTCCTTGCATTTTGCTTTCCAGTCAACTTTGATATTCAAAAATGTAAATGCAATGTTAATTGTTATCTTCTGTCTTAATTCCTGTTTATTGTTCTTGTATGAGAAGTTTTTTATTTTTCTTATATTCTTTCACAATCAGTAATCCGTTGTGTCTTAGTGAATTTCATGATAATTGTTCTGATCAGCTTTCCTTTGAATTTAAGCAGGCGACTAAATTGGCGGCAAGGTCTCATCATTTTACAGTTAAAATGACTAAAAATTTAGCTGACCTG